GCAGTGGTGATGCAGTGAACAGTGATTTACGTAGATTCCCAGCTTATAGCTCAGAGAAACGGTTGTACTGTTTCATTTTATTATTAGTCGTAAGTGTTTCTGTTTTCAAATTATAATGCCACATTTCAAAAGGGAATCTGTGGAATTTTAATCACCAACTTATTGACCAGAAGAAAAGAATATCTTTCAAGGGTCTTCATAGATGTTTACATTGCTCTCTGATTTGTTTAACATAAAGGCATAAACAATGTATTCCAAAATATATATTCTAAATTTATTATTAACCTAAATGAACCAGCTGGCATATGCCATCAGCGTGACTCGACATTAGCAACTTGATGAATATATTGCTCTTAAAGGTTCACTACTCTAATCCCTAACTTAGGGATATGCCTAAGGTGTGATACAAATAAAAAGAAGAATACGTAGACTGGAGTTACACCAAGTGCTACGATACATTGCTCGAATCATTCAAGTGATAGTTAACTCATTTTTGCTTTCCCAGATGACTCAGCCCACGCTGTCTTGTGCAATCTTCTTTCCTTTCCAAGGTCTGTAGATGCATTCTGACGCATCATCAATTCAGGCTATGCCATTTAGGGCTATTAACCTGGGGGCAGGGGGGGAGGTACTCCCCCTAATGGCTCGAAAGGGGTGCTTTTCTGTTACATGTTATATAAAAGGTTTGGAAGCAGGGGCGAAACCTCCCCGTATAAAACTTTATTGAGTACCCCCTAGCTACTAACACCGTGTTTCCTTAGCTGTGAAGAACATGTCCGCGCTTATCTTTATATCGTGAAAGAGGTTGACTAACTTTTTTATACCCTTCAGTATGGTTCAGTCTATCTATTCCACTTCAGTTTATCTAATCTAACATTGACAGCACTTTATTATTTCCTCTCAGTGAAAGGAGCATCTTAACTGATGCATGTGGTAACAGCCAACACTGACTCATCCATCGAAGTCTTGTTCGTGTACGGACATACTCTATAGAAAATAATTCAAATCATTTCTGACAAAATCATTTTCCGATTTGATCTTTGGTAAAAGTTAAGGTTTCCGTTGCTGATTCATTTTAAGCTAAGTGATTGTCAGATGTGATGAAGATATATATTGATGTATATAAATTAGGTAACAAACGTATTGAATATAAAGAATTATAATATTTAATGATTAATTTTAGCACTGTACGTTTTAACCTTTTCTTGGATGGCTGAAAGCACGGAACCACTCAATTTTAATCTGCGCTTTAAAGGCTAGTTTTTGATTAAAGAAACTCTTAGAGAATCCTAGGTTTTTAAAATGATATTATTTACCACTAAATCAGATGGCCGTGGAAAGAAGGGACGCGAGATGGAAACAGGAAAATAAGTTCGCGGACGTTTAATAGGCGAAAAGCCAGCGACGGTCCTACTTTCAAGGTTCTAGATTTCAGCTCATGCTGCAGAATTAAAATTGACAGATTGAGCCCAAAATCATTCTGGAAACATTTTACTGGAAAAGTCTGTCGAAGCATTGTTGTCCAAGACTAACAAGAGATCGCTTAGAATAATCTGTTCGGAATCCGGAATGCAGCACTGGAACTGGCTGGAATCCACAGCGTGGAATCCAGAATCTAAGACTTTCTTGGATTATCGCAGTTACACGGGGCGATTGATTAGAATTATTCAAAACACAAATGGCTTCTCAAGTTTCGTCTTGCAGTAATAAGAGACAAAGTTGTCCTGGTTAACTGGGTGGCAAAAGTTGAGGTTCATGACATTTCAAGAGCTGGGTTTCGCGGGAGTAAAACCGATATCCTTCTAAACTCAAGAGGGTAGAACATATTATTGTGATCGATACGGAATCTTCCTAACTCACTTCCTTATACCGTTGTAACAAAAAAGTAATTCTGCCCATGTCCACGAACTTAAAGTCCACTTGTCAATATTTGGGTCTAATTTGCTTTTGCTCATTTTCTTGGAGCAGAGTTTCTTTACTTAATATCATTTTTTTATACGTCGAGTAGTCTTATATCACTAAAGATTATCATAATTTATATTACATTATCAAGGAAGTTATAACTCATTGACCGGTTGAAGTAATTTTGCTTCTGGCGAAGAATAGTGATAATGTATAATGACAAGTGTCTGTTTTTGAAGTGACGTAACAGAATATAGCCCTCAGGTCAGCTGAAACGTTCTTTCCGTGACGAAAGTGAAAACTGCGGTTCAAAGAAGATGAACAACGAACAGTCCATACCACAAAAATTACTTAGCTATCGGATTTGTCCTATTGTCCTGTACTGTTTTTAAACATTGAAGCTCCAAGTTTCTAAGATTACAGAACGTTAAGATTAGAGTTACAATGCAAGCAAAACGTTCAAGGCCAATGCAAGCGCGATTCACAGTATCCGACTGTCTGCGATATCTCTCATTTTATCTTTTCAATGACGTTGGATTGTCTGGTTTCTGTCATCAAGTAATTCAGCAAAAAGTTTTTTGGAACTTATGTTGACCTTTTTTTTTGCTCATATCACCACTAGCTTCGATATTACGTTAAAGAGACAAAAATCAAAAACACACATAGACATGAGAATGTACAAGAAGAATTACAAGACTGAGGATATGATGTTCAATTGTAGCATAAAATATTCGTATCAATAGTGGCGACGAAACCTTGATGAATGTTGAGAGCTTACTTACCTTTGAGAAACTGCTCCCATTCGCGGGTTTGAGTCAGTCGGTATTCGGTCCTAAATGGGTTTAATTTCTTGCTTTTCAGTCATTCTTGTTCGGTCCTTTTTCATCTAAGGCGCTTGAAAAGGGTGAAAATGGTGTATTTGCAGATTCACCAAGTTCAAGTTTCAAGTTAAAGTTCAAGTTTATTAAAAACACTTTTTGATATTCCTTGCCCGCAAAGAAGCCTACTGCACCAGTTTTAGTTTAGCTGTACGTAATGGCATGGCATGTGCCAACGGTGATTTGTCGGCATGTTATCCTTTTTCTTTTTAAAGTTCATTTTTTTCGTGCTCCTTTGAGGAATTATTGCCAACTAAATTCATGTTGCTGAGGTCCTTCCCTACATAGTTAATCGCAAAGTCCCTCATGCACCTGTTATATGTGGCGAAATTTTCAAAACTTGCACGTTTTGGCTCCTTAAACCTAAATCTCAAGGGAGATCTTCTTTAAGACAATCCAAGGCATTTATAAATTGTATATTTGTACACACAAATTAATTGAATTTCACGGCTCTCTATGTAGTAAAGATTAAGTTGTGTCCCCTCCTAATGCTAGCTATTTTTTAGATGGTAACCGACAAAAAGCAACAAGCATTGTATGTGTGCGGACTATATCAAAGTACTCTTTGTCTCTGTCCTAAAACTTGATCGAACGGGCAATATCCGAAACGGGATCTTATTAGGAAATGATATTTTTCTCAGTTTCTAAAACTATATAAAACTATATTTAAAAACACCCTTTCTTTAATTTGAAACTTTACTTCGGCCAGTTCTGGAATACCGACAATGTAAGTTCAATGTCTTGAATTCTTGACTAAGATTTGAGTCCAGTATAACTTTTCTTAGAATGTCGGATACGGAGACTTTTCTTTGGTTTTTAAAATTGCAAGCGCCTTTCCTGATCGAGATGAATGTAGTTTTCTTTGGTGTATATTGGTTTGTCTGGTTCCCAAGACATGACGTTAATTGACTAACTGAGCCGTAACATTGGCGGGCGCACGGATGCGATAATCGAAATTTGTTGCTTTCCCAAGTAAACCGCAAGAGTTAACAAGAAGACAGTCATTACTATTTAAGTCATATTATGATAAGCTGAATATCAAACGGCCACAATTCGCTTTCCTGTGATCGTTGTCCGACTTCCTGATAAGTTACCGATTTGTACTAATTTTCCATAACTCAAGTGTTCTTACTCTTCACCGACTTATTAAGCGTTTTAAATTTTGTGTTGCTTATAGAGAAACAGTTTAGCGATCTCTTAGCTGAAGGTAACTGGCTAGCTATAGTTGGTGTAAGAACGTACTTAGACGTCATTAAAAGAGAGCTCTTAAGATTTCGACACCGTCTTACTGGGTCGTTCCTGTGATCATATCCTTGAGTCAAGACGAGGGATGACGCTCGTCCCTAACCTTTGAGTTTTTTGTGTTCCTACCAATGACGTAAAGGGAAAGTCCCGCCAAAATATCGGACTCAGTTAATCTGCCAAAAATGGGAGACCTATGTTACGATTCTGGGATTGTCAAGGGACTTCAGAGAAGTGTTTAATGTTAGGTTGTTTTTTCGTCAAGCAGTGATTTTGAAGTGACGCATTTTCTCCATGATTTTTTGAATAGCGGAGGTAGTGATTAACGGCGAGTCAGTGGTAATTGTTCGTTTTTCAGTGGTAATTGTTCGTTTTAATGGTCTCTGAAATTACTAACTTAAAATAGAATTATTCTACGCCCAGATCCTTGAACTATCAGATTCCTTCCTTCCGTTTTAATGATTCCAAAATGAGAAATAATTTGTTGTTTTTCTATAATCTTTTGTACGGCTCAAACTTTTACCCATCGTTTTTGTTGCAACCCCTTCACTCATTCAGTTTCTTCTCAACAACACATTCATAAATACAGTGATTGTCGCCGGGAACTATTTTTTAAAAATGTTCCATTTGTTTTTTTCTCCATTTGAGGTTGTTAAATATCAGAAATGATTGTCATTTGTTCCAGTTTAATATCCTCAAATTTTACCCTCAAATTTGTACCCGTTTGCATTATTTCGAGACCATTTTTTTAGTCGGTGCGTAATGAGGAAATACGGCGCTGCTAACAAAACATCAGGCCTCGGTTGTTCAAAGGCTGGATAGCGCTATCCACCAGATAAATCACTATCCAGCGGATAGTGCAATTAGTTTCCCTAATACTTATCCGCTGGATAGTGATTTATCCAGAGGATAGCGCTATCCAATGTTTGAACAGCCG